CTATTCTAGCACCTTTTCAATCATCCTAGTGGCATTGGAAGCTGCAGTGTGTCACTGTATATATACCCTTTTGTTCAATCAGCTTTTCTTGAAAATGTCTATTGCAATGAGTCAAGGCCTCTGGCACAACATCATCATTGGACCCTCACTGAAACTCTTCTTGGACATCCTGCTCTTGCCTGAGTCATGGAGATCCCGTGATTGTCCTGCAGGATCAATCCTTTCACTGATAGGGTAGTATCAGCAGGTCGTAGATAGGATAGATGTTAGGGTGGACCCACCCAAGGCCTGGCATGTGGTTCTGGGTGAGCTGAGCTGGTTGGTTTGGACCACTGGAACTATATCCCTTGTCCCCTCAGTCAAGGGGCAGGGTCAGCTCTCTCCCATGCTGGTGGTGAGGGGTGGGGCTTGTGGGGAAGGTAGCTCCTGCTGCAGTGTCCAGGTGGGGCTGGCTCAGCATAGCCCTTGGATTTCAACATGCATGGTTCCTATGACCCCCTGTGCTGACAATGGCCATGGACATTGTCACAAACCCCAGCTGCAGTAGCAGTTCAGACAAGATGTCACTATGGCCCTGGTAGCAACACAGGCCACCCAGATCAGTATGGCTCCAGTGGCAGCAAGGTCCTTGGACACTAACATGGTCTCAGGTGGCTGTCCAGACCCGCCATCTGCACAGACCCTGGCTGCTAGTGGGCCATGGGCAGCCTGGGCCCAGAAAAAAACATGACCCCGTGTGGCAGTGTGGGCATAGACATCCATGGACATCCGTGTGGCCTTTGGTGGTACCATGAGCCATGGACATCACAGAACCTGGCTATGGGAGGACCATGAACCCAGATATGGTCCCAACAGCAGTCTGGGCTCAGATGCCACCATGGCACCAGGTAGCAGTGTATGCCACTGAGATTGGTGTGGCCCTTGGACACCAACATGGTCCTAGGTGGTGGCCCAGACCCCTGGCATTGCTGTGGCATTCATGGTATCTGGAGTCATGTACATCAATACAGACTCTAGCTGCGGTGGGGTCATGGAGCATTTATGGCCCCAGGTGACAGTGCAGGCAACTTAGATTGGCATGGTCCAAGCAAGTGGAACAGCTCTTGGACACCAGCATGGCCCCAGGATGTGACTTTTGGTGGCATCACAGACCCCAGCTGTGATAGGACCATGAACCCAGACATGGTCCCCAGCAGTAAGTAGCCTGGGCTTGGATGTCAGCATGACCCCAGGTAGCAGCATAGGCCACTCACATTGGCATGGCCCCTACAGCAGAGTGACCTTCAGACCACATGGCCCCCAGGTGATGGCCGACCCCTGGCATCAGCATGGTCTTCACTGTTACCGGGAACCACAGACATCAACACAGACCCTGGCTGTGGTGGGCAGCAGCTCTGGCCTGTATGACACCATGGCCCCAGGTAACAGTGTGGGCCACTCAGATCAGTGTGGCCCCAGTAGTGGCATGGCCTTGGGTGCGGCCACAGATTGTGGGCCTACACCCTGGGCATCTGTTTGACCTTTGGTAGTATCAGGAGCCATGACCAAGCTTTAATTTTTTTCATTATT